TGTTTTCTGAATGGAGTTCGGATTAATCAGGCTATGCTAACTTAGTTCATAGTAAAGTAAAACCGACAGCTGGAATCCAGAAACGCACACATTTGGAAACACATATTTTTGAGCAGGATAAATTTGATTGTTGGTTTAGTCTTTTCTTGGGATTTGAGTACAATAAATAAAATAAAGAATATCAAATTGAGTACTTCGTTAAACTGAAAACATTGCTTTGTAGACACACAAAAGAATGCCCTTCCTAAGGTTGGGGTTGAATGTGTGTTTCGACTGTCCAGGCCTCATTTTGCATCCCGAGTGTTTCATTCTGTGTCTTTTCTCCAGAACATCCAGAAGATGCTCGGCCTCGCACCATCCAGAGCTGCAACAAAACAGGCTGGAGGCTTCCTGGGACCTCCTCCTCAGGCAGCCAAGTTTTCCTAGTGATCAGACGAGTTCAACAGTGCTGTTCCTACAATCACATCAGTGCTGGAGCAAACACGTATTATCTGTTGCAGCTACACTACCTTCTGTTGGATTTTTCATACATGTTTTGTTTATTTAACTTTGATTGTCTCACTTAGAAATTAGAGGAAGAAAAGTTGTTCTTAATTAGTTGATTACCAAAGGATGCAAACGTCTACCTTGTATTCAGCACAGGCCATACATTGTTTTGGGATTTTAATGATTAATTGGCACAGTAACATCTGATCCATTTGTCAGTATTATTGTATGTCATTGTCTGTATCCTCATTTCTTACATATTAATAAAGTTTTATGATTAAACTTTAGTTTTCATTTTTTAATGATTTATTTCAGGTGTTCTCCCTTTTCCTCACAGTTTGGCGAGCTGGATTCCCTCTGTACTGCTGTCTTTATCGTTGTTAAGACTTCTGATACCTCCATGACACTGAGGTATCCCATATAGTCTAGGCAGAATTTCTGAAAATGTGCTTATTTAAAGTGCACTTTTGTGATTATTTATATTATACAACATTTCTAGGGGTATTAAGGGGTGCTGAATCCAAATCTGCTGTATATGAAGCTCAAAAATGTCCCAAAATGCCTCAAAATTGAGAAATTCAAAATGGCCGCCACCGCCAGGCTGAAATCTATTTTTCAGTATATCTTTTTGACTAAACAAGGTACAAACATGAACTAAATGTGCTTTTGTAAGTTTTCCTACATGGGCAATTCAATGCAGTATATATTTTAGCATTTTTGATCACTAAAAGAAGCCTAAATAGCTCATTTTAGTTGCTAGGATTAGATAATGTTAGTGGCTAGCTAACATTACTGGCTCAATGAGCAATACATATCGATGTGCAGAGGTTCCCAACCTTTTGACTGCTGAGGCCCAAATTAAATTCTGAAAATCTTCCACAGCCCACCCAAACTTTTTGGTGCAAAAGTGGGTCAGTGCAATTAGCACGCTAGCGCGATTAGCGCGATTAGCATGCTAACGCGATTGGCTAGATAGCATCAAAGTCAGTAAACTTAACACACTTGCTTTTACACTGACTGATTGGTGGAAAGACTGTTTAAATGTATTTCATTTAATTTATTTGAATGTAAATCTCTTCGGGTATTGTTCTACTTGAACCATTCAATCCCTTTTTAGTAATCCTTCATGATTTTTTTTTTTGTCTATTGAAAGGCCTCCCACAGCCCACCTGCAATACCTCGGCGGCCCACAGGTTGGGAACCACTGTCTTAGACTTTGCATTCGTATTCTAAGAAAACTCACTCTTTCTTGTAGGTCTGAATTAGTCAATTGGCGACAAAAACCATGGCTGAAGAAATAGACTATACCCAAGAAAGCTTAATGTCATCTGAGCCACAGTTATGCATCATATGCCAGGAAGACAATAAGAAAAATCTCATGACAGTTAGTAAGGATGGCTTCCAGTCAGCTGACACTGTAACACAGCTCCGGATGAAATTAAACCATGACAACTTCCGAGATGCAACCAGTCAACTTACTGAGATACTTCAAGGAGACTTGCCTCAGCAATTCTTATGGCATAAGGACTGCCGAGCAAAATACATGAATAAACGTGAAATAGAAAGGAAATTGAAGGCAGAATTGAAAAAAGATACCAAACCAAGTTCATCTGCATCCACCCCAACTCCGCAAAATGTTACTCTACGGAGCAAAATACCTCCAATAGATTGGAAGCAGTGTATCTTTTGCCAACAAGATCAGAAAGAAAAACTACATTTCATACAAGAAATGAAATTCAGCAGCAGAATCCTACAAGCAGCAAAGTGTGATTCATTCTTAAGAGTGCGACTAGCTTGTGTAAATGATCTTATAGCTGCAGAAGGAAGTTATCACATGACTTGCAAGACCAGGTTTGAACGTAGGATCAAACGCATGGAGTCACTTCCGAGCACAGACATGCCATTAGAGTGGATCTGCCAAGAACTTGAACAATCAGCAAATCAAGCGGATATTCTGGATCTTGTACATGTGTGGGACCGGTACTCTACACTAGCTAATGAGGCTCAATTAGATATACCATCTAGATTTCTAAGCCGAAGGAACTCCTTCAAGGAACAAATAGCTGATCGTCTTGAGGGCATATACGACTTTGTTGTACTGCATGATCAGCCTCGAAATAAACCTCGTACTGTCTTGGTTCCATCCAAATACCGGCATATTCCAGTATCAACAATGTTGAAAGACGACACCTCCAATATTCATAGAGTTATTCCTACATTCAAACATAAGGATCAAGATATGTTCCTGAACATGGTCCATGTGGCATTGCAGATCCGAAGAGATATGATCTCACATCCAAAACAAGAGGGGATAGACATCAGTGAAAACAGAGCAATAGACAGCATACCCAACAGCCTGTACATGTTCCTCAACTTGTTACTAGGTGGTCAGCGCCTGCTGGAGGATGACGTTGAAGATTATGATAAGAACACAGCCAAACGACAGCTTAGAGTCCTCAGCATTGCACAGGATCTTATGTACACAGCTAGTGGAGACAAGTTCCTCACTCCGAAGCACATAGGACTGGCCAGTACCCTTCATCAAGCTACACGTTCAAAGGAGTTGGTGAACATGTTTCACCAGGCAGGTCATGTTATGAGTTACCGTGAGGTAATCAAACTTGACACTGAACTGGCTAAGACGACCTTGGAGACCATTGGGGATGATGGTGCCGTTATTCCACAAAATCTGGTAACGGGACGCTTTGTTCATTTCTCAGCGGACAATGTTGACATCAACGAATACACTCTGGACGGAAAAGGGACATTCCATGCCACTCAAGTGGCTGCCTGGCAACGTGGTCCACCTGAAGGTGATCTCCTTGAAGGAGTTGATCTTTACTCCAGGTCAGACACCCTCAACATCCCCAAGGCAATGACTGATATCATACCTGCACCAAAGAGAGGAATCACAGAGCGGCCAGTCAGTGGTGTATTAGCAGCAGACTGTTTCACACAGTCATCTGAACAATGTCCCGCAGCACAGAAAGCACAAGCTACAGACATGGCCTTCTTCATGTCCAGCACATCTCAAAAACCAAAGCCTTCCTGGACATTGTATAATCAAAAGGCAAGCACAGTCAACCCAGAGAAAACTACAGTAGGGTACCTACCTATCATCCAGGCTCCTGCATCTGAACTCGATACACTGAACACAGTCGTCAAGCGAGTGCTCCATGTCTGCAAATCAATGGAACAACAACATGTCATTCTGACAGTGGATGAGGCACTTTATCCAAAGTTGCTAGAACTGAAGTGGTCAGTAGAAGAATACAAGGACGTGCTTATACCTTGCCTTGGAAGCCTTCACATTGCCATGAACTTCCTGGGTGTGATAGGACAACACATGGTTGATTCTGGCCTGAGGGAGCTATGGGTCAAGTGTGATCTTCTGGGAGCAAATGCTGCTCAGCATGTCATGGCAGGAAAGGGGTATGCACGTGCTATGAGGACCCACAAGCTTACCCTGCAGGCTCTTTGGCAACTACTACTCCCACAGCTTTACACATATCTGGATGAGGTTGATGTTACACTGAGAGCTGAACTCTATGGACTCTGCCAGTCCATAGATGCTGATCACATCGCACAACTGGTCGACAAACTGACCAAAGACCGATTCCAGCAGCCCATGAAAGAGTTTTCTGCATCACTTGCAGTTGATGACCCGAATGCTGCATTCTGGTGGAACTATATGACTATGGTCAGCATCCTACTCTGTTTCACAAGAGCGCAACGTGATGGATTGTGGGATCTCCACCTGTATGCTTTCAAACGTATGCTGCCCTTCTTCTTCAGGTACGATCATATAAACTACGCCAGATGGGGTACTGTGTACCTGGCTGAGATGTCTGCTCTCCCACCAGAAATCCTCCTTGAGTTTCAGAAAGGCAACTTCGTGGTAAAACTCAGTGATCGACGCTTCAATCAGGTTTCAGCGGATCAAAGTACAGAGTGGCTAAATGCTACAGGAAATAAGAGTGGAGGCCTAGTAGGTATCACCAGGATACCAACATCCCTCAGTAGATTGACACTGTCGTATAATCTGAGAACAGTCATAGCTTCTCAGACAACAGCGATGCTGAGACTGACAACAGATGATGAAGACAATGAGTACACACACACAGAGTGCACAAAGAGTAGAATGGAAAGAGATGATGTGGATGAAAGCAGAATATGTCTATCATTAAAAGAGCACGGTGTGTTTCAAGATGGTGGGGACACACTCAAGAACATAATCAACAAGGACGTGGTCACACCCCAGATTCAACAATCTCTGCTTGGTGCAGAACAGCTTGGACAGGCACAAATGAAAGTGTTTGTGGACAAACGTCTGTGTGAACCTCCAGATAGTGACCAGCACTAGGATCTGAAGTCACCCATTCGAAAGAACAAAGCCAAAACATTTGCCTCTTTGTATGAAGTTGTGCAACTTTCCAAGAACAAGCAAAACATCATCAAAGTGGACAGGCAGATTCTACAAAGGCTCATCACAGCTAACAGAGCAGGTCGCAAGGTAGACCTGGAAAATATTCTCCAGCATGAACTCATGCCCATCCCGCCATCTCTGGCCGCAACTAACGGCAGTCTACATTCCACCAACAAATCTGTTTTAGTAAATATACTGACAAAACATATCCAAACCCCTGCAGATGTGCCCCTTCAGGAACCCAGCTGCTTTCTTATTGATGGCCAAGCACTTGTAATGGCACTTGGGAAGCCGCCTGACATCACAACATTCGGCAACTATGCCAACAAGTTTGCTGACACAGTGTTGAAGATGGCAGAGAAGTACCAGAGGGTTGATGTAGTCTTCGACAGGTACCATGACGAATCCATCAAAACAGGCACAAGAAAGAAGCGTAAACAGCGCCACCGACCAGTACGCAGAGAGATCGTGAATGACTCTGTTCCACTTCCAGCAGACTGGTCGAGCTTCATGGCACTGGAAGAAAACAAAGCAGATCTCGCTCGACTACTCTCAAACCATCTGATAGAACACAGCCCAGAATATGAGCCAGTCGTTGTAGTATCAGGTGGGTTTGCTGAAGCGACCACTGTCAAGTCATCAGATCCAGAACTTGAAATCTCCTCTCTGAGTGCTGACCATGAGGAGGCTGATACACGACTGATTTTGCACTGCATCCAGGCTCCTATGGACACAATAGTTGTGTCAGCGCGTGACACAGACGTGCTTCTTCTACTTCTAGCACATCATGACAGAATTGGATGTACCCATCTCTACATGAAAGCCGGGACATCAAAGTATCCAGAGTATTTTCCAGTACATGACATTCGCAAGTTACTCTCTGATGATCAAGTGGACACACTGCTTGCCTTCCATGCCATCACTGGCTGTGATAGTGTGTCTCAGTTCAGCGGTCACGGAAAGAAAACAGCCTGGCAGGTGTTCGAGCAACATCACACTGATCTTACTGGCCATGGGAAGGGCCCTCTCACAGAAGATATTGTGAATTCAACAGAGAAATTCATCTGTAAGATGTATGGTGTGCCTGAGGTTGATACATGCAACAAAGCAAGAGTGAAGTTGTTTTGCAAAGGTTGTCCACAAGAGACTCTGCCTCCAACCTCAGATGCAGTGAAGTTTCATATCATGCGTTCACACTATCAAGCGACAATCTGGAACCAAGCTCACCTGCCACATCCTGATCTTCCTCCAGTGGATGAAATGGGATGGATACACAAGGAAGGTCAATTAGTGCCACGGCTAATGTCTCTGCCACCTATGCCTAAAGCCTGCAGGGAGTTCACTTCATGTGGGTGTACCAAGGGATGCCTCAGCCAACGCTGCAGCTGCAGGTATGTGTATAGGGAATTAGCTGATGTTGATCATTGTGTACAAGAATGTACAAATATGATAGACTGGTAGAGTATTCCAATGTACCTGTACTTGTACTGGTTGTAATCTTTCTATTCTATTTAATCTGTTCTATTCAGAAAGAGTCGCATGGAATGTATAGACGCATGCAACTGCAGGAAACTTGACAACACTTGCCAGAACATTGAAGAGGACTGTGAATAAGCTGTCACTGTAACCTCTACTGGGATATAGTTCAATGAATATCACCATGAGCCATGGATCTTCCTGCTTTTGGATCTTATTTGATTGACAACTTCTTTATCACTAATGACCACCTTTTTCTCTATACATGTGTGATTTTCAAGCTGATTATTGACACTTGATCTAAATCAGGACAGGATGTTAAATTCCCCATGTGTGAAAACCTGTGAACATTTAATTAAAGTTTGTATCTTTTTGTATTTGTTTGTACATTTGACCTCAAAACAAAATACAAAAAAAGTAAATGTAGCCTGATAATATCAACAATAATAGTAATAATATTAATAATAATAACTTAAATATTAATTAGTTAATAATAGTTCATAGTTAAAAGCAACTATTTTTGCAATATCTAAGCAGTTTCTTCACATTACATCTCAAATCTGAATATGGCATTGAATTGCCCATGTAGGAAAACTTACAAAAGCACATTTAATTCATGTTTGTACCTTGTTTAGTCAAAAAGATATACTGAAAAATTGATTTCAGCCTGGCGGTGGCGGCCATTTTGAATTTCTCAATTTTGAGGCATTTTGGGACATTTTTGAGCTTCATATACAGCAGATTTGGATTCAGCACCCCTTAATACCCCTAGAAATGTTGTATAATATAAATAATCACAAAATGCCTTCGGGGTTCTGATTTTGTGAAAATTGACCCTGTCTAATATATATTCCCCTGAGAGCAGGTCTAGACCGAACTCCTCCTAAAACCTGTTAGTGGTGGCTCTGCTGAGACGTTCACGCACTGAATCTGCTGTGTAATCCAGAATGTGTCATCATTTTTCAAATAAATCCATCTTGTTGACCACAGAAGGACACATTATAGCAAAAAAATTATATGAAGAAGTTACTTCTTCCTCGTTCGCACTCTGGCCAACAACAGCTATAAAATATAGTTTAGTAGCCCTTAACATGATACACAACAAGTATAGGTAACGAATGGATGAGTGGACATAACGTTATATGTCTTTGTGTTATACAGAAGCCATTTACTCGGCTCTTTTAAGAATAAAGTAAAAACGAACACATCGCCTTTGCCTCTCGTTGTAGTCTCTCTCTCGGTCGAGGAATGAGACCGAGACGCGTTCAAAGACCACATGAAGGTGTGTCCTGTCTGGATTTAGGGGCGTGAAATGTTCTTCATCTGTGACCTGGCGTCCAGTCCGTCTGCAGAAGCGTTAACGGTAAGGTAACAGCATGTCTTCTCTTTATATAACGGACTGTAGTAACGTTATTTAAAATCACCTGCTGCCTCTCCTGTGCTGCGTTTGCTCGTGCTCGTTTAGCTAACTGTTAGGCGCTTCACGTGAGTGGTGTGAACAGTAACATTGAGCGCGTGCAGTGTCATTCACAGTCTTAAATACTGTCCTGCATATTTCAGCCTCATTGCTGTCATTCCCTGTGTCCTTTCAGGTCCTCTTCCTCTGACAATGGCGCAGTCTATTCTCGACACAATGCCCGGAGCCTCCACGGGCACCGTGGTGGTCACGGATCATCTGAATTTCTGGGGTGGGAAGCGGGTCCAACCCAGGCAGGAGAAAAACACAGAGCCCGTGTTCGAACCTGCGACTGGTAAATCCAGCACTGTACAGTCTGCTTCACTGTTTAATGCTGTATTCTGACATGTGTGGTAAACCCGGTAGACCCCAGTGTGATGGTTTATAGGTTAGTAGTGGCACATCAGCGCAGCGGGGTCAGCGTGAGGACGTCTGTCTGAACCCTGCTCCCGATGCTGTGAGGCCAGACCTGCTACTAACTTCTGTATACCCCCGCTGCAATGTGCTGTTATTAGTAGTTAGCGGCATAGTAGTCCAATATTATACAATATGACTGACCAGATCCCGCCAACAGGGACGCTGTGAGGACGTAGGCAGCTTTGACAGACACATGTCACAGACTGACTGTGTGCCTTTTAGCCTGCTGCGTCATTGTGTTTGTGCAGACGCATATCTGTGTTTATTAAATGCTGCTTGATTGATTGTAATTTATTGTGATCCTAGTTTGATTGTTGATTGACTGCATTAGGACCTTATTATCTTTATTATCAAAATACCTGGGGGTCCGTAGTCTAATCTGTAGATCTACTGTGTGTACCTTAACATACCTTGACAAAAGTTTGGGGACCCCTGTGAGAAGCAATTCAAAGTTGCAATTGTGCCAGAACTCTAATGCCACAAGTGCCCGGAGCTCGGTCAGTCTGTAACCTGTTGCTCCTGTTTGTGCAGGCCGTGTCTTGTGTCAGATGGTGCCATGTGGGTCGGAGGAGGTGGACGAGGCCATAAAGAGCGCCCACGGTGCCTATCTAAAATGGAGAAAGATGGCAGGCATGGAGAGGGCACGGGTGATGCTCGAGGCCGCCCGCATTATCAGGGTGAGTGTGGGTCAATACCATCTGCATTACTGGAAACTAGCCAGTCTGATTTCAGTGTTGCACAACAACAGACTGTTGCAATTATGCAGTGAGACACTAGTTACTCATTAAAAGCACAAGCTTGCCTCCTCTCCCTCCCCTCACTGCTGGCCTACATTTGTGCAAAATAAGCCTTTTGTGTGTCAGTGTTGCCTCTGATGTCACACAGGGTGGGAGATTTTAACCTCAATCTGTCACCGTCATTGCATAATCTATATGAAATAAAGTTGTATACATGTAAAGACACTAAACGTACCACAGTGAATCATTTTAAATACTTCTGTCAAAGTTTTTCATTTGCAACTTTTTCTGTTATTCCCAAAAAAACAGGAAAGAAGGGAGAAGATTGCAAAGCTGGAAGTCATCAACAATGGCAAGACCATCACTGAAGCCCTGGTGGATATCGATATTGCCTGGCAGTGCATTGAGTACTACGCTGGCATGGCTGGAACGCTCGCAGGTGGGTTGCACGAACACAAAAGGATTTCCCAAAAGTTTCAAAACTTAGTGTTGTGTGTTTTAAAAAAAAATGCATTGTGTTTCATTGTTTAAGGCCAGCACGTCCAGCTTCCTGGCGGAGCATTTGCTTACACCAGGAGGGAGCCCCTTGGTGTGTGTGTGGGAATCGGGGCTTGGAATTACCCCTTCCAGATCGCGTCATGGAAGTCTGCTCCTGCTCTGGCATGTGGTGAGTTTGTAAATGTGTGTCACGTGTCTCTTGATTGAAAAAAAAAAAGCTGTGTAGACCATAACGTTCAGTGTCTGTGTTTAGGTAATGCCATGGTGTTCAAGCCCTCACCAATGACTCCTGTAACTGCTGTCATTCTGGCTGAGATTTACAAAGAGGCAGGGGTACCTGACGGGCTCTTCTGTGTGGTGCAAGGTGGAGCTGAGACCGGCACCTTGCTCTGCCATCACCCGATGGTTGCCAAAGTCTCCTTCACTGGCAGCGTTCCAACGGGCAAAAAGGTACAGAGACCAGTACAGTCTTCTGAGTTTGAACATAAAGTCATTAAACTGTACTGGAAGAGAACAAAGGGTGTCATACAAGCCCAGACGACCACCTCTACAGCCACAGTGATCCCTAAACAAAATGAGCTTACACAAACAAAATTGCTTGTGGATGCTTGGGAAAAACCTGTTTAAAGTATAAAAAAAAATAGTGCTGTTGGAAAAATTATTGCAGTAATAAGTGTCATAACTCTTTTGAAATATGCAAAACACTTTCTTTTGACTGCTCTACAAGGCTTCAGTTGTCCCTGTTGCTAATGCCTTGTGTGTCCTCCTTGCACTCAGGTCATGGAAATGTCTGCAAAGGGGGTGAAGCAGGTGACTCTGGAGCTTGGAGGGAAATCTCCCCTCCTCATCTTCAAAGACTGCGAGCTGGAGAACGCAGTGAAGGGCGCACTCATGGCAAACTTCCTGACACAGGGACAGGTGAGGCACATTTATGCATTGTGTTGTATGATGTCAAGCTCGACCCGACCCAGTGCATTCAGCTCTGACAGGTTAAAATGTCCTTGTATAGGTTTGCTGCAATGGGACCAGAGTGTTTGTGCAAAGAGAGATCATGCCCCAGTTCCTGGAAGAGGTGGTGAAGAGGACTAAGGTCATCCCTTTGGGTGACCCCATGCTGGACGGCACCCGAATGGGAGCGCTGATCAGCAAGCCACAGCTGGAGAAAGTGCTGGGATTTGTCAATCAGGCCAAGAAAGAGGTATGTTTATTTAGATTAGAGGAACCTTTTAATGGTTCCTGCAGGAGGATTGAGCAACTCTAGAGAGGAATTTATCAGAGAATTTATCAGCTGTGATAACACCTCCAAGCAGTTTGACTATACTTATCTTGGCTTTCATAGCTGTTGGACTGATATGTCTGTTTTTCCAGGGAGCCAGAGTGCTGTGTGGAGGAGAGCCTTTTGTCCCCAGTGACCCCAAATTGAAAGGGGGCTACTTCATGTCACCCTGTGTGCTTGGTAAGTCTCTCCAGTGTGTTGTTATTTTTTTGTAACACTCATAATCTGAGTCAGTTTGCATGTTTTGCATGCCAGTATGCAGTGTATGTTACATGCAGTCCTTTCTCCCTGCACAGATAACTGCAGAGATGACATGACCTGTGTGAAGGAGGAGATTTTTGGCCCAGTCATGTCTGTACTGCCCTTTGACACAGAGGAAGAAGTGATCCGCAGGGCCAACAACACCACCTTCGGACTGGCCTCTGGAGTCTTCACCAGGTCAGCACAGGACACATGGGGCACGCATGAGTTTGTCATTAGTCAGCAGTCTGTTGCAAGCACTGATTCACAAAGCTGGCGCTTTGCTCTTGAAGAGAATGAGGTTATTGCATACCACTGGCTGCGGTTCAGGGTTTCCACAAAGCAGCCAATAAAGGTTTATTCATTACCAAGTGGAATTCATTGTGCAATAGCAGTCTCTTTGGCTGGAGGGCAGAAGCAGCAGGAGGATTGACTCTTTCTTGGGCTTATCTAAAATGTGTTCCTTTCCTCTGCCTGCAGGGACATTTCTCGAGCCCATCGTGTGGCTGCAGACCTGGAGGCAGGGACCTGCTTCATCAACAACTACAACATCAGCCCTGTGGAAGTGCCATTTGGAGGATACAAGAATTCAGGTAACGTGTTTAAGGTTGAAATTGTCAGAATTACACTTTTATTATTGCAAATGCAGAGGAAACATTGATGGTATTGAATGACTGAACTCTCTGAAATAACTAAAAGAAACATTGTTTACATGATCTTTACTGTGCTTTCCCAGGCTTTGGCAGAGAGAACGGCCAGGTGACAATCGAGTACTACTCCCAGCTGAAGACTGTGGTTGTGGAAATGGGCGACGTCGAGAGCCTCTTCTAAACTCCTCTCACAGTGTTTGCACTGCTGTGCCAGTACTGCACAATCCCTGATGCTAAACTAACTAACACATGCGTGGGTGCGTGCGTGCGTGTGTGTGTGTGTGTGTGCGCGTGTGTGTGTGGAAGTAGAACCAAGAGCCTTAATTAGAACTCCTGTGTGTGAACTGTGAATTAGCATTAGAGAAAAAAACAGACTTTTGTACTGAAACACTACTGGACACCTGACTCCTTTCTGTCAAAATAAAATGTTTTAGATACAAAGTCTCTGTTCCTGGTTGTTTGTGACAAACACAAGTACTAAGCATGTTTATTATTCACGTTTCCTGATATCCAACAGCTGATAATCATAGTATTCATTTTTGACAATACCTATATGTCAAATATGTCATATAATATGTGTCATGTCAATACCACCACATGGCCACATGGAACAATAGCACTAGTATTGATCCTAATATCAGCTAACATTGAGCAATATATTGACATTACTGCCCATTATTCATAAGATGGCTACGATATGTACACCTCTTGAACCACAGTATCGGATGCAATATATATTTACTATAAATGATGAAGAGCAGTGTGCAGCCAGAGTCCTATCTTGCTGTAGCATTACATCCCCTTTTGTTCAAGCCTTGTATCTCTGCAAGCTCTCAATGCTGGCAGCAAGACTGATGAACATACGTGTAATTCAATATACGGAGGTTATTGTTTTGGATGCAGTATTTGTATGTTTTCGTGTAGGGAAAAGAAACAACGTGTTAACGGAGGACTGGGTTCTTCATAAGAGCAGAACACATGCTTTTATTTTGACGACGTGAACCGGAAGTGCTTTTGCCTTGATTTTGTGTATTGGATTATTAGTTTGCAGTGCAACAATGCAGGTAATGTTTTAACGCCCACATATTATAAATTGCAGTATGATACTTTGTTATATTAGCCACTGGTATTTTAACTGAAGTTGTACTTGTATAAGGTGCTTCTGCTGAACTTATTTATAGGGTTAGCAATAGCCGCTTAGCTACATTAGGTATTGCTAACAGCTTGCTTAGCTAGGTTAGCTAGATGGCGTTATCTAGTTTAACATAACAATGAAGTGAACTTTAATGTAAAGTTGAACTAATATATGGTGTGGTTAGCAGTGTTTGGTGTGTTATCAGATAACTTTGTTTTTATATTTTTCCCCTCAGCAACGAGAGGAGAAGCAGTTAGAGGCGTCGGTGGAGTCTCTCGCCTCTCGGGTCGCACACGTCAAAAACGCTCTCCACAGTTTCATTTATAAACTGGAGAATGAATACGAGCGATTAACGTGGTGAGTTAGGCATTTTACCAGAGGGGAAGGTTTTCAGTCTGTGCGGTTGATCTTCAGTAGTCTGTATCCGCTGCTATTTCCAGGCGGTAGAACTACACATCAAGACTTCATGCTGCCTTTTTATGAGATGGTTGATATGTAATAAGTGTGGAGGCTTTGGCCATGTTATTGGACATATATGTTTCTAACTATAGTTGTATTTGAACGTAGGGCTTCTGATTGTCCCCTTACCCCAGCTACAGTGTCCAAAGAGCCATTCCTCACATTCTGTAAATATCAGTCTCATATTTATTAATAATATTGGATCAGTCACTCTTCTGTGAATTTACTGCTGATAAAATATTGCCAGCTAACTTAAGGCTTAACAAGGCTTTTAGACTTTTCTGTTAAGAAACCTCTCGTGTTATCATTGATAGTGTCATTTCCATTAGAACAAACTGCAGGTGAAGAAAAATAATATGACTTGGTATTTATTAAATGTGTCCCCTCGAACAAACATTGGTAGTGATGAATTCAGAAAGGTTCTACTGCTGCCAGTACAGCTCAGTAGAACTCCAGTGTTTTACACTGGTGCCATGTTGTGGACCAGCCTTCACTGAATATGTGGAAACAATGGGGTGAAACAACGTCACAGCAGTGAACCACCAGATGCTCTGTTATTTTGTCATCAGAATGTGGAGATTTCTCAGATGCTGTGATGTGTTTGTGTCATTCAGGCCCTCTGTGTTGGACAACTTTGCTCTTCTATCTGGTCAGCTGAACACTATCAATAAACTGCTCAAGAACGAGAAGACACCGTCCTTTCGCAACCAGGTTATAATCCCACTGCTTCTGTCTCCGGACCGAGATGAGGATTTAGCGGTGAGTATCAAAGCCACTGGCCGACATGTCTGCCTCTCAGAGGTGTTTTTAAGCAGTTCCCTCTGCTTGTTCCCCCACAGAAACTCACAGAGCAGCGTGTGCCGGTGTTCAGCCATGAGATCGTACCGGACTACTTGCGCACCAAGCCTGACCCAGAGGTGGAGGAGCAGGAGAAACAGCTGAGTGCAGAGGCAGCACGGATTGGCCCAGAGGTGGCACAGGTCAGTTGGTTGTTGTATGGAAGCAGTTTTGCTGTGCAGAAATGTACCACCGTAGGAATGCACCGATCCACATTTTTTCACTTCTGAGCCGATCCCGATACCTGAATTTGGATATCGGCCGATACCGATACTATGCCGAGCTGTGTTTGCTTTAATATTATTATTATCATTATTGTTGATTTTATATGAGATAATATGAATAAACAGACAAGTATGATATGTACGTATGTATGCATGTGTGTCCCAAACGACAACTTGAGGCAAGTATAAGGTCAGAAAAGGAAGTCGGAAAAACAGGAAATCCTGTTAACAGGAAAAATCCCATTCTGAAAACAAATATGCAACTGTAAGGGTTTCAAATTGATTGTCATGTCAATATTTATTAAATTCCCAAAATGTCAAATATTTGAGTCTTGAAATATAAGAAAAGTGCAATAAGTGTAAACATCTTACACACACACAGATCAAGTACACTGGCTCTTGTAGCATCAACAAATCACTTTGTCAACCTGGAGTTTACTTTGTTTTTGGAATGACTCCAGAAGTGATTCCTGACAGCTCGGCTAAAAAATCCTCGTGCTGTTTCGTGTGGTGCTTTTTTTAAATGTTTGATTGCGTTCGTAGTGTTGTACGACGTGAGGGAGCTTCCGCTTCTCTGAATTACGGCTTTGCAAACATTGCATTTTGCTGTCTTGCTCTGCGGTGTTTCCAGTGTAAAGTATTTCCACACAGCGGACATGTTGGCTAGCCACAATGCTGCTCAATGCTATCCTGCTAGCTGGCTGCAAACTGCGGAATGGATTTCCTGAGCGGGGGCGTGTCTCATAACTCTGTGTCTCATTGAGCCGCGCCTCCGTTCAGGAAATCCATTCCACAGTTTGCAGCCAGCTAGCAGACTGGCCGGCAGGAATCACCTGTGGAGTCATTTCAGCAGACAACGTTAAAGCGCAGATATCGGAAATCTGCGCAGGTTGGATCGGGAAATTCCTATACGTGAATTACGCTGGTATCGGTCCCGATACCGATACTGGATCGGATCGGCCTCATCCCTAGTACCACCTTACTTTGCGTGCAGGTGTAGTGTATCGCACATCGTTCAAACCTCCCTGGTTATATTTTTATCAACAGAAACAGATCCAGACGTTGAATAAACTGTGTTCCAGCCTGCTAGAGAAACTTAACAATCCTCGTGAGGACAGAGATGCAGACAGTGCAGGTATGTGTTTCTCTCACTGTCCAGGTCATTTACCTCAAACTGATTTCTAAATTTAAGGAAGTTAACTTTTATGAGTTCTTGTTTTTCAGCTATACGACAGAACAAACCGTCTTTCAACCCTGCCGACACTAATGCACTGGTTGGAGCTGTTGCGTTTGGAAAGGGGCTCTCCAAATGTAGGCCTCCAGGTCCAGTGGCCCCTGGACATTCAGGACAAGGGCCCATGATGACTGGGGGTCCAACTTTACAGCAGGTCACTATTGGTGGCGGTTCAGGCCAGCAAGCAGGTATGGGTGGACCTGTGGCACCACAGCAGCAAGGGCAGCCAGGTAGGAGACCTGGAGAGCTGGGTTAGTATTTCCCCTGACTACTTTTTCTTCGTTTTGCATTTTATTTTGTGTACTGATGTTACGTTCTTGCTGCTCTTCATCTTCCTGTGCATGGGTGTAATTCATTTGTATTATATTTGTACTATTAATCGATGTTTTAAATGTCTCTGTTTTAGGGTGTAAATGAATTGGAGATGGACAGGGTCTTTATTTGTAAAATAATCAAATAAATACAGTATGAAGGTTAATCAATATATGCAACTGAATATAAACAATTAAGATCGATCCAACATTTAATATTTGATTCATCCACTTCCAGGAGAGGCAGAAATTCATTTTACAAGAGCCTACTATTTTAAGTAGGAGTGTCATGAATTTTATTCTAAATCAAAAACTGATCAATAATCAAAAGCAAAAGTGTGTATTTGATCTCTTTCCCCCCCAGCCTGCTTACACACAAGACATGTAAGACAACGCAGTATAACATAGCTTACTGGTAAAAGAATGCTGGTGGATAAATAAATGGTTTAGATAAATGATGTAAATTTGACCATGTGGCTTTAGTGTGATACATTCTAAATCCATTCCTATATATAAGGTTAATACCATTCGCCTTATCTTTATAAAGAAGAATTAAAAAATGTAAATGACAGTTGTCAGAACGTAAAACAAATGATCTGTTTAACTTTACAAATCAAGACTCAACAGTGGTTTAGCCGTCAGTGCTGAAAATGTTTTAATCAAAAATCCAATCGTGACACCTACACTTTTCTTATTTGCATGCAGAGTGTTAAAAAAATGACCCTTTATGTGCTGAGCTCTGGATTTCTGAGTAGACATGCAGCTTTTATTGAGTAGACATACAGCTTTTATTATATATAGTTAGATGAGCACCATTTTGAACTATACAACCATTTTCTTTACATTTCAGTAACGCATTGTACGTGCTGCTGTTTATCTAAACAGCTTGGAAAGATCGTCTGTATGTGTATTTAGTTATTTATTTCTCCATTTTTTTTTCTTTCTCAGGAAAAATGCCAAGCAGCATCAAGACAAACATCAAATCTGCGTCCGGTTCAATGCATCCTTACAACCGATGAGCTCCATCTTTCTTAATTCTTCATCCAGCATTTGTTACACTTCAGAGACTCTCATAAGGCGGTGACAACATTTACAATAACCACTTACAGTATAAAGCCATTATTTTCATGGACTGGACCAACTTCTACGAAGTTATGACTCTTTCTTTAACTGTTTCACTGACATGCTTATTGTTCTATAAAATGATGTCCAACACAATCTTAATATTTGCAATCATCGGG